TATCTAGAATTCCGAGGTGAAACACTAATTTGACTGGACTATTAAGCTGTTTTATGTCTGAAGACAACCATCCAAGTATTTAACAGTAAAATTAAGCCATGGATACCTTTATGCTTTTGACATCGCATTGATTTATGCTTTTTACATCGAAACCCCGTGGTCTTTGAAATTTCCGGTTTTTCATTCAAAATATGCGTGGAAAGTTATTGTCAATGGACATTCAACATTCTTTGAATATGTTTTTGAGTTTGCGTCGTCTGTAACTCGCTTACCGATTGACCGATTTAAGTATTTATCAGGGTATTGAATATTCTACTTTCTTCTGCAAAGCGTTTTTCAAATTTTCAAAATCGAGTGAGAAATAAGGAAGGTATGAGCGAAACAAGTAAACCTCTTTAAATTGACTGTCTGAAGACAACTATCCAAGTACGAGTGATGTTGAGGCACCAAACTTGTAGGGAACTGAGAACAGCAAAATTCAGCCATACGAATCAAGCTTTATGAACAGACATTTGGAACCATATTTCCTTTAAAGGTTTCGCTTTTCCTTTCAAAATATGCGTGGAAAGTTTCCAGTTATTACTCCTGTTAACGGTTAATAACATCGTAACAATGAATTTTTGGTAAACAAACAAGATAAAATTAAACTAAAAATTACAGTTTCTCTTCAGCAATAAAACCATATTGTTCCCTTACAAATCCAATAAAAACTCGTTAGCCGAAAAAACCGGAATTTCAGCCAGTTCTGGTTCAATATAGCTAAATCGAGTACTGTTATTTCTGCTTGTATGGGTGCGGCTAGTCCATGGCCAATTTCAATAGCAATGCTTTACAGAAATTACACTTTCATGGCAAAACAGGGAATCGGGTTGATTGAAATACGCAGTGAATGGGAAAAAGAGCGCCGAGCACAACAATGCGACTTTTGTCCTTCGTTCAGCTCTTTACTTTAGGGAGGTATCGCTCAAATGGAAATTGTACAACAACAAGCAAGTGGAGCTGACCGATTTAGCAAACACGATCTGCATTTTATTGAATACATGATATTTTCCCCCAGGGAAATTGACAAAATAAAAGTCCTTTTTGCTAGATTTTTATAATTTTATTGTTAAATTTACCCAGTAATGTATAATTTATTTAATTATCATTTTTGCTAACAAGTCAGAATCAATTAAAGTGAACAAGTCCCCAATATGATTAACATTTGCCAAATACCTACTCAGATATTTTAGAATTTTAATTCGCAAAATCTAACAAGATTTATTACCTTTTACAAGTAAAAGCCTCGTATAAGAGACAAGTTTTTGACACGATCAATGACTGCTTGAATTATAGTTTTGTTGTATTTCTTTTAGTTATGGAATTTTTGTTTTCTTGGCTACCGGCCTAGTGTGATTTAAACGAAAATTCTACCATCCAAATAAAAAACAATAGGCACTTAAAGCGAGCAAAGTGTAACTGTTACAAAACCAGATACATTTTACCGTAGAAACATCGTTTGGAACTGGCACGCAATGTTTGATTTAATGTGGAAAAATTGTTTAAACCTCAGCAAAATACTCATATAATTCAGCCCATTCCACGTAAATTCTCCGTTTATCTAACAAACGAGAATTGTAAAGCGAATTTCCCACCAATCCAAACGAGCTCCTGTAATTGACGGAATCTGCAAGATAAGTGAACCTTGAAATCGAGAGCAATCCAAGACTTATTTATGAAGATGTTGGTGTGCGATTACGTCGCAATTTATTTGAGAAATAAACCCGTTTCCATGCTTCACAGGTTTCACTTCTTCCCGAAGAGATTATTCATGCTGCATTCACACAGCTCTGACAAATTGACCGAAACACAACAAAAAACATACACACAGCTAAATACAAATTTTAACAGAGGAGCAAATGATTAGATCAAACGAATTAAAAGAAAAAAGAAGATATATCACTGATTTAAATACATTTAAATAAAAGCCGACTGTTTAAGGACAAAAGTTCAAAAGACGAGCTTTTTAGCTCTAGTCAAATCGACCAGCGATGCTGAAGAACTTTCAACAACGAAATAAAAAATATGTACCTAACACAAGTTTCTGTGAATATTTCCAGCTCTGCAAATGTACTCATATGAAATTCCAATTTGGTCTCAGTGTTACTTTACGGTGAAAATAAAAATAAAACGAATTTAGCCGCGCTACTCGCTAAATGGTTCAGGTATTGTTAGCACCTAAATGGCCCCCGAAGGACTACCGATAGCACACCTTGACTTATTTTGAAGCACAGTCCAAACAAGGGACTGTCACCCGCGCTTAAAAGGCCTCATCTGTCTTGGGTGAAGGTTAAAGGTTTGCTGGGCGAACGAAAACATACATACAAACACGAAATATGATATGATACAAAAGGAAGGAAGGAAGGAAAGTAGGGGAACCAGGGTAATTTTATCCCGCTTGATAAACTTTGCCCGATTTATTTTTAGCACTCGCTTTCGACTGAGGTTTTCGTTTTCGTATTATTGCTTTGACGATTCTTCAATCGATAAAGTGTTTAGAATTACATAATAGAATGGTCCAATTTATAGAGCAGAGAATTAGATAAAATATTATAAGAATATTCAAAGTGTTTTATGTTATGTCTGATAACTAATAGAACGGTAAATTATTAGTAGAAACATAGAGTAAGTTAAACGAGACTACCCGGGCAACAGTACAAACTCTAAAAGTTAAAAACAGTGTTTTAGTTGAAAAAAGTATGAGCATGTAAAGTATATGAGTATTTACGCCATACATATAGTTTTAGATAAGTTCTATATTGTTGAGGCGGATTCATTTTTTTACAAACTTCTTTTTGGGTATTTTGCCTCCAAAATTTTTGTCTATAAAAAAGACAGAATTTCCTCACGTCTTTTATTACAGATTGATAAATAGTGCTCCTATTTCGCAATAAAAACGAATTATTTATCAAAAAGTAATCAAGAACTATCACCTAGAGGGTATCCTGCGACACACTTGGGCTCAAGCTGTAAGAGAAAATTCCAATTAGTAAAGAAATTAATTTGAAAAATTACCTTGACGTTTCGATAGCTATTTTCTCCTATCGTTATCAAAAGAACCTAAATGAACCTAAAAAGAGTATGTTAATAAATTGTGTAACAATAGTAGGATAATACAATATATGAAAATTCGCTCTGATAATTCGTATGTGCAAATTGTCAGTTATGTGACTTTGACTTAATCTGATTGAAAAAATATAAATAATAATAATAAAACACATACTTTTATTAAGAATATTGACCTGAAGTAGCAGACATTATGGAATAAATATTTTGAGCAAGTTCCGATGTAATGCATTAGTGAAAAAACACTGTAAGATTAGCCAAAATGTTCTCTCCCATTACGAACGGCGCCAATTTTCAACCGCCTTGTAAGAAACACCCTGTAGCAAAACACAAAAATCAAAAATAACTTTGGTTATTGCCCATAAAGCTTCCAAATTACGCTAGTCGATTTGTAATGGTTTTATATGCAATTCCATTGGTGTGAAACGGGGTAAAATAAAACGCCGGAATATGTAGTAAGAGACTAATAATATACGAGTTTAAACTCAATAATAAAAAAGTCACGGTTTGTACAGTACGATTGATTTATTTACACATGTGACCCGTTGTGCTTTAAGACGGAATAAACGTGATTTATGAGACCACTTTAGGCTTTTTCCGTACTCCGGGCTGGTTTACTTCACTTTTTGATGAACTACTTGCATATACAGCGTGGAAGATCAAAATGTGTAGGTAAAAATGCGGCTAAAATAGAAGAAAATAAGTCAAAATGACGCAATTTTATGCATTTCAGTATTGAATATAGATGCTGGATTTGGAAACTTGGAAGAATACATGGAAGTATCAGTATGCAAATGCCAAACAATGGTTTTAATATCAATATTAAAATATTTTTAAATCACTAATTCACAAGGTTAACAATTACACAAAGTTATAATAAAAAATCAATAAAAATTCTGCAGAAATAATCGGATACAGAAATAATCGGAACAACAGTTAACACATAAAAATGATTTAAATGTCGTATTGTTGGAAACTCATTTCGCCTAAATCTGAAGCCATTAGACAACTTTCTGTATAAAATCCCCTATAAAAATTCGGAGAATTTTTCCAATAATGGTGAGTAAAAGATCGGGTTTCCAACTTTAAAACACTGTTAAGTTCGAACAACACTTGGCTGCATCCGTATATTTGTCACCCTGTAACTGATAAGATTTATTTCCCACACTTGACATTGCACAGTCCTGGAGTGCTACTTGATGTGTTTTATTTTTACAGACTCATTCATCGGGAGGAAGGAAATACGCCCTTGATCAAGAGGCGCCGGGCGCCGAAACGTCGCCTTTACATAGTTACATTGAGAACTGAGGGTAAGTGTATATTTTACAAAAATTGTAATTCGTTTGTGTTTGTTAATGGTTGAATACAAAAAAATAAATAATAATTTTTGCACAATTTTAACTAACATTTCTGTGGCATGTTTCCAATAATGATTTTTTGTTTCGGAAATTTCTCAAGATACTTAGGTGTCCCGTTAGCACATAATCGAAAAAGGCATTTTGAAGTAACCAAAGTTCTTCAAAAAAATTATTTGTTTTTGTAAAACCAGGAGAATATTACGATCGATTTTAATGAAACATGCTGTGGATAGACGAATACACACTTTCTTGCAAAACATATAAAAATGCTCATTTCCATCTGAATTGCCCTGTATGTATTTTTGTATGTGTTCACTGGTTTTCCCACGTTTGAGGATTTTTATCCGAAAAAACAAAAATATAAATGCCGACCAATTAATTCACGAACATTTCATTTAATATCTAATCGGTACAGACACTTTTAAACTTTGCATGTTGCTCTTTTTGAACAAAATGTTCTTTGGAAAACCACATTATTAATTCGCTACTTTGCTGGACGATTGTGCAATTCGCTAGGGCTGCATTGAAACACAAATACAATTATTCAATAGTTCTTTAATATCGCATAAATACAATAAACTAAAATTGTATATGTTAAAATACAACAGTCAATTTGCTTTTTAAACAAATGTCCGAGTTCGAGTTAATTATGCAAAACAAGAGGTTTTTAAAATCTAGACTTTTTCAATCTTCAGATTTACTTAACTTAGTTTTGATCAACACGTTCTTCAAACATTTAAACAGTGACTCAAGGTAAAGAGAATAGCAATTATCCTTAAAATGTAATTGTCTCATTTTTCCCTTTGAGAATATGTGTACCATTTTATTTTATATGGAAAATGTAGTACATTGTTCATTTCTCCTACTCCACTAAACCCTGTGAGGCACCTAAATAATCTCGAACTATAAATTCCATAGTATAGAAAAATATCAGTGTTATCCAGATCTCTGGTATAAGCAGCAATATGTATGTATGTTCATATATTGATTCCAGATCACATTATATTTTTATAGTTCCCTCAATGTACAAAAATACTGCAACATTGAAAACAGCAAATACAAAACGCGCGTGTTTATCACATATATCTAAGTTGATTTCGTATTTTTGGAATTCAGCAGCTGAATGAGTTTGTTCGCTCTGCCAGCTGCGGAGTCTCTGAAGTTTTCCAGTATCTGGAAGATACATTAATAACTCTAAATTATACTGAGTAACTTTAAAGTGTTTATCAAATTTGGCTGATAAAATAATCATAATCATATCAATAAATGATACTTTTTGGTGAAAGCGGCAACGCTACATTGCTAAAAATATTCATTCAAAGCGTTAGATCACCCTTGATTACAGAAGAAGCCAACTGTCGCGGTTTCTGTCTAAGTATGCCTAGGTGCCATCAACTGTGAGCCACCCTGTATACTAAAAATTAATATGCCAACAGGACAGGAAAACCGAAGTTTTCAAATGTTTAATCAATTTGGAGGGATTAAAGAAGTTGTGAAGCCGAAAAAACCAAACTTACACTGAAAAATCTGCTCTTCGGTTTTCCAAAAAAAATGTTAGTATTTATTTAATTATCAAGTCAAGATGTCACCCAAAGTTTTCGAATTTATATGTAATTTTTTTCATTTACATTCATCGTTCGGTTAATCGGTTGGTTAATTAGAAGGTCCATGAGAATCCTATTAGAGTGTTTAGAAAGTGTACTTACATTATAAGACAATTCCTGCTTCAGAATCCTAGTGGTATGTTCATTGGCCTCACAACACGCCAACAAAGTTGGATACAAAATATTGGATAATTTCTCAACTGAAAAGTACGGGAATGGCAAAGAGCAGAGCTGCTGCAAGACAGAGGGGGCTTGTCCGCTAACCAGTAACATCTGAAACAAGAAACATACATAAATATATCAAAAATACGGAAACGCACGTTCGTTTTTTAAATGATTTATATAAAACATACATTTGCAAGGTTTAAAATACGTTATTGAGCCCTGAAAAAAATATAATCTACACTGAGAAAACGTTTTTTAAATAGCAGGTATAATAAAATGTAAAAAAATTATCGAAATTAAAAGAAAAAGCAAAATAGAGTCCGACGATCCTGTGAAATTTTTTGACCTATATACAGGATGATTCCTGACGATATATAGATAGACATAAGACGCGATAATAGATAGACATAAGACAAAATAAACATAAAAATGTAAATAATCCTATGTTCTAATTATTTTTGTGAGATGCAACACCTTTTTCATTTTTCTGCTTGAAAATTGAATCAAATTCTGTATAACTTTTTTTACATACTAGACAAAAATATACAAGTTTTAGCGAAATGGATGTTTGAATTCAAACATAAGTAAATGTCGAATACCTCAGCAACAAGCAATAAGAAAGCTGCAAATGTTTAGTGTTTTTAGAAAAATAGTATTTTTATTCTTTGCTTTTTTATACTTAAAAAACGGATTCAATTCTATTTGAATTGCACTAGGCGGCGGTACATTGACTAGCTATCATTATATTCTATCAAGCTATATCTATTATCTATCTAGCAATATTCTATCAAGCTATATTTATCAAAAGTTTTGGTTTCTAACCTAAGTACTAATTAATGCGACTTGATGAATGCGAACAGAAAAGGCTTATTTGAAAGTAAACCAAATGCTTCGTCTTTAAGAAAAATTGTTCGCGACTCGCAAATCAAATATTCTTGTTGTTATCAATTACGGAATTTACATACTCGCATCCAAGTGAAGATGATTTCTGTTTAAATACTTAACATTTCTGTAAATCTACGGTTGTCTAGAATTGGAGGTTTAACTAACACTACTGGAAGCCTTTTGGATCGTTTTCAAAAATCCGAAAAGTTGTGGACATGGATTAAGCCGAATTCCAATTAGTCAAACGACCGGAATCCGGGCCGAAATGTGTGGACTTGTCAAAACAAACTGTCCTCACAATGCCGCGATGGCCGTCTCGTAACGCATGATTAAGAAAATGTCATTTTTCCATTAGCGCCACCGAGAATTAACGACGCTCGTCTCTTTGGAGGAGAGTTTTCGACCGCCAAAACTGTTCTAAAGAAAGTATGTTTTTGGAAAAAAACACAAAAAAGTCCATAAAAGTTCACTAGTCGCCAACCAAGTCGCCATATATGCTCAAAAAACTTGAAAAATGGCTCGGTTGTTTAAATTTGAAGGCTTGATAGAATAATAGCTTGAAATAGAAAGCCAAATTAAATAATTTTGCTAAAAGTCTGATGATTCCTAAAAAAGGTACATCTACTATTAATGATCAGTCCATTGTCTGATCTGATGCCTGGTCTATCAGACCAGACAATATTAAATTTTGGGGACGCTCTTGCATACATAGTAGCAGCATAGCTACCAAAACTGTGACTTTCATAAAATATTCAAAGGCAAAGTCGATGCCAACAAAGGGTGATTAGTTATTAATTTCATTGTTGTTTCACCTCAATTAGAATATTCACTTCGGCATGAAGCAACCTAAATTGAGCAAAGGAAATAGACGAGAAGTTTAATTTCACGATCGATGATTAATAAGTATCTACTTATTAATGTGACAACTTGTTGGATTAGAATTGGAATCGGTAAACACTGAAAAGTATTGTTAAAAAGGCTAGTAACTTAGTTTTTTTGTGGGACTCCATATACAGGGTGATTCAAAATTGGCGTCATTCCTTTTAAGGGGTGATAGAGGCTCACTTGGGGAGTACGAGAAAAATATTGAAAATTTTTTTTTC